AGGAAGGACCGGCTTGTTTAACCAAGAGCCGTTTACGTATAGCCATATAACTCACAAACGAAAGCAAAACGAAAAAATTGTAACGAGCTAAACATCACCGTTGCTAAGTTTAATTAGGTATTAAAATACTAAATTTTGTTCAAATCTGTTCACTATATAGTTAGCAAGAAATTTCTTGATTACTGCGAATTTAAGCACGTCTTGCTGTTTAAATCACGAAAGAAACTCGCGAACGAAGGCACAATCGAAAAAAATTTCACGAGCTAAACATCACCGTTCGGTAGTAAGGACTGTAAATTATAATTTTTGTTCGAATCTGTTCAGTAATTTGGGAGAAATTCCTTGATCACTGTGAATTCGGCCCGTATTGCCATATAAGTATGACAGAAACAATTGAAGGCAAAAGCTTTAAATTACTGTTAGGTTTTAATGAATACGTGTATCAAGTTTCATCGAGTTAAGTGTATCAAGTATCTCTGCCACTGCAGTGAGTGACAGAGAACGCATTTTCTCGTCAACGAAAACGTGAAGTCACAGACGGACAGACGGACAGACATGGCGAGCACAATAGTGCATTTTTCCATGAATGAGAAAAGCGCTAAAAACAGATCTGGGTGAAAAACCATCGCTGGGAGTCATGTGCTGCACGTGTTGTGTACAAATCGTCAAACAAACGTTCGAACTTCTCAATTCGACTTCGGACTGCCGCCCCTCTATCGCCTCCCTATCGCCCCCCTACCACCCTCTTCTTCTTTACCGCCCCCCAAAATCTTTCCATCGCCCCCAGGGGGGCGATATCGCCCACTTTGGGAACCACTGATGTAATCAATATTCTTTGTTTTTTAATCAATTTTTTGTAAATTCTGCAAATAAGGTTTTCATGCTGACACTTGTCTGCCACTTTTTTTCTAAGCGAAATTTTTTAATACAGCAAATATTTTTTTTACTACAGAGTACAGACCTTAGCAGAAGTAACTTTTCAAAATATTGTTTTTCAACATTTTTTCAGGAATTTTTCAAAGCTAGTACTAATTGTAGTATTTTTGAACTTCCTTTATACTACATAGATAGGAAAAATGTTAATGTTTACGCCACTATATTTAGTTTTGCAATATTCCAATTAGTTTTGCTACTAAAACAGTTTTATGCCGTGTCGGAGGACTGTCCAGAGTTACCCTGCCCGTCCTGAGTAGCCCCGGTTGACGGTACTTTAAGGCAAGGTTCAAGATCTAAATTAAAAATTAGCAAGGCACTTATAATTCAAATTCAATGCTCAGATATGGTAGCAAGGCGCGAGTGGAAGGCTAACACTAACATTTACTTACTAAGTTACTTTAGAGTTGACTTCAAAAATGGAGCAAATGAAATTGCAAGGTGGGTCTTGTGGGTCAACCTTGTATTATTTCAACCATGAGAGGAGATGATCAAACTCATTTTGAATGTCTATATTTTCTATTGACATTCTTCTATTATTTTTTAGCATGTTGTAGATACTTTTTATGCATATTTTTCTTTAGTTCAATCATGAATAAGTATATCAAACTTTTATGCCATGAGCTTGACAGTGTAAATATCTAGGCTACTAAGTCTTGTTTTGAAGAGGGCTGACAATATTTTATTCTTAATATCATGGAAGTTATAGTAAGTGAGATTCACATGCATATCAATTTTGAATTACCGCATCAATACTGACTACAAATATTTACATTATAAATTTACAACTTGTGTTTTCCTAATGTTGGTAAAATGCTTTGCCTTCATATTTTTCTAAAATCAAAACTGATTTTAACCTAAATAACAATTTGGCTATGTGTTGTTGTTGTTGAAAACACACAAAAAACAAATTGTTTTTTGTGTGTTTTCATATACATAGTTTTGTTCAAATCTGTTCAGTATTTTAGAAGGAATTTTTGTTCACTGCGAATTTAAGCAAGAATTAGGTACTGTTTGAATCACGAACGAGGTGAAAATAAAAAAACTCAAACAAAAGCAAAATCTAAGAAATTTTCACAAGCTAAACATCACCATTGGATAGTTATGAATGTATATTCAAAATCTTGTTCAAATCTGTTCAGTACTTTCAAAGAAATTTCTTGATCATGGCGAATTTTAGCATGGATCGCCATATATATAACTCACAAATGAAGGCCAAATTTAAAAAATTCACAAGCTAAACATCACCATTAGGTCCTTATGAATGTCATACGTGTACAAACTACAAAGTTTCATCGAGCTATGTTCTTACTTTGAGAGATATTCCTGTTCATAGAATTTGGAGAGACTGGCCACAAGTCTGGCCATAAAATTGTAAAACATGCCCCTCACAGCTCGTGAAGGATTGTGTCATGAATTCTTTGAGGCTGTAATGTTCAAATATCCATGAAATTTTCATTGAGAGGAAATATAAAAATTTTGAACTTATTATTCCCTAGATCGTTGTTTTAGTAAAATCATACAAAACCTGAATTATTGATAGCCGTTACTTGACCAAATGCGAATAAAACAGTTCATGACTTGAATAAGTGTTTAAATATTTTTTGCTTTACTAGTTGAAAAGTCAACTGTTAGAGCCACTACATCCCTGAGGGACAAAATCTAATGACAAAACCAATCTAGAAACAAGTTTCAAATAAATTGAACATGACTGAATTTGAACGGACCTATCAATCATCTGCCCATGCTGCAGTGTGAAACACCAAGCCAAATCAAAATGAAACATTTCTTGATTAAGGTACACTCATCATGCTAGCATGACAAAAAATTACATTTACAATATTTTCAAAAAATATATTGTAAAGGCTACCAAATAGTAATGCTCACTCATGTTGTCTCCAAACTTCTATTACGTTGTCAGCTATTGTGCTACTTGTGCACTCGAGAGGATTTCGGGTTTAATTTAATGAATTATTGATATTTTCATCTACCTTGGGCTTGGCAGCTTGGTTTGAACTGTAGCCTAGCTCAGTACTCAGTAGCTCTAGCCTCTAGCTATGACTAGATTGGAATTTTCCTACTTGCCATTTACCAATGAAATCTTGTGGCTGCAAAGTGACCAATTTTCACTTCATTTGGAATCACACAGCCTCATCAATCATCATGCTGACTGTGATGGTGTGACCATATTATATATGGCAACTTGCCTGTGAAAGGGTTAATAACTTTTGTGGGATTGTGGAGAGAATTTGAATATTATATATATATGATAGATTTACTCATGATAATGAGCTATAATGTTACACTTGAACAATGACAATCCTAATGCATTGTTAAATGTTTGACTCAAATCATACACAGCATTGTTGAGTTTTGCTACTGAAATGGCAAGTATATTCAAGTCACTTTTACCTTTTTAAAAAAGTGTTTTTTTTTACCTTTCTGTGCTTCTCCATTTTGAAAAGCTCTCTTCATGAAGATGTATCATTCTGATAATTTGGATGAATGTGCTTACTAACGTGATATGCCATTTGCCAGTCTTCATCAGCCTCAATTAGTCACTAGATTAGTAAGATTTTAGACAGTTCTACCAGTAATGAATTTTTGTACAAGTATATATTCCTAGTAGCAGAAAAACAATTCAGTTCCTGATTAAAAGTTACGCATAGGAATAATAATGATTGACTTTCCACTTACAGTGTGGACTGTGGAATTCTGGATAATTAATATATTCTCACATTAACATAACCTCCTACCACGTTACACCTTCAACTGCAGTGTGTATGAGCTCAGAAACTGCCTCACTTCCAAAATTGTGTGTGGTTCAAAATCTGATATCATGTTGGCAACGCTTCCCTGGATTACTTTCACTAGTTGTTTATCAGTATTTGACAAATTTTTGCAATGACTATGTTCTAGAATAAAAAAAAGTAATGTCAACTTTTGCAGAAAATTTTCACTTTCACCAACACCAACAAAGTTTTTGTAATCACAGGAAATTATGGAATAAACTGCAAATCTTCCAGGGCATATGGGCACATCAACCTGGCTATGAAAAAATTTGACAAGACGGTGTTACACACTTTATTTTGGTTATGTCTAGTTCGATTTCACAATAAATAGATTTGATGCACATTCCACCCTAAGATTTAAATGATGGAAAATTGTTTCAAAATTTAAACACCTTTTCACATGCATCCAGATTTGAATTTTTTCGCATTTTTGCCCTATGTCAATATTGTCATAATAACTTCCCTTCAAATTCTGAATGATTTCATCTCCCATCATGAGTTTTTGAATGTCTTGTGTCTTTTAGAAAATATTCATTGTTTAGAAGGGGCAATTATTGCCCCTTCTAAACCATATTACCATCTGGTGTATTAAATAATTAAATTTAATTTTTATTCATTTTTTTAATTTAAATTAATTCTACAGCTGCAACTGGTAAAAATGAGCATCATAGGAACGAAAGTAAAATTGTCATTCATACATCCCAAATTGAATGACAATGAATGGATTTGATTGCTGTTTTATTGATCCCGTTTATATATAGGAATGGAAATGTTGCTTCTATTTCAGAATCTGTTCCTGAATACATTTGTGAAACTACCGTAATACTTACGGTCACTACCATAACCATAATAGTACAGTACCTACATACCATAATATTACAGTTGCATTGCGCCATTGCCAACCGTCAAATGCAGTTGCTAAGCTTTCACTGAGTGAATGCGTATAAGATTTTGCTTGCACAAAATAGCTTTGTGGTGCATCATGTTAAGTTCAACTCTTATTGGTGGTGTGATTTGTTATTAATTCATAAATGTTAATTTGTTGTGTTTGACTTGGAGACGAATTGCTAATGAATTAATATCTAGTCTAATTGAAATCTTAAAATGTTACAAAGTTCTTTCATTCTTGATTATTTCAAGTGCAACTTTAATCCCTCCCTATTTTTATCCCTTCTATCTTACCTAAAATTTTCGGATCAAAAAAGTGGTGGAGGAGGATCAGAAATAATATATGAACCTTAATTTTTAGAATTCCATCCTGTAATCTAGCAGTTATACATCCTTAATGCTAATTTTATGTGTTTGTCTTTCAGAGCAAGTGGGGAATAGAGAAGAGCCACCATGTTAGGTGGGCTCTTTATTTATAACCACAAGGGTGAGGTGCTAATCTCCAGGGTGTACAGGGATGATATTGGACGCAATGCTGTTGATGCTTTTAGGGTGAATGTCATTCATGCTCGGCAGCAAGTCAGATCTCCTGTCACCAACATTGCAAGGACCAGCTTTTTCCATGTCAAGGTAAAGATTGTGTTCAATAGTAATTACTGTTACATACTATTTTACTGAAAAATTAATTTATGAAATTAATTGTTTCAAACAAAAAATCATTAACCCAGAGTAATTAGTTGATATCTAGCTATTTATATTTTCTTGTTAGTTCATGCCCAAGGCAACTAGTATTCACTATCACCGAGTCCCTGTTATCATTGCATGCATTGTTCCTAAGTGTCAGGTTTTAACATTTTTCCTTTGAATAAGTTTGCTAATAGTAAACTAAAGTTCATTGGCACCATAGTCTGCATTGATGCATCATATTTGTAACAGAGCCTTGTTTTATGATAACAAGTGTGTGAGCCAAGTAATTTTGCCTGGTGGAAATTGTTTTCTTGTGGCCTCAGATATCTGGCTTTTGATGCGCCTATGTATATATAAGAATAATGGAAGTTTTGATGTTACTTGTAGGGTGTGAATTTTTACCCTATTTTGCTCTTTTGAAAAAAAAAAATGAGTGAATTCATTTTGTTGCAAGATATTTTTTCTGTACAGATTCAAATTGATTTATGTTAATCTAGATTGTGAATTTGACAATTAATATTTCAATTTAAAATTTTACTGTGATTATAGACATTTTTGATATATTTTCTTCCAATATATAAATTCTGTTTGTTTTTCTGACAAATACAATTTATACCTCTCAGCGGGCCAATATCTGGGTGGCTGCCGTGACCAAGCAGAATGTGAATGCTTCTCAGGTGTTTGAATTCTTGCTGAAGATGCTTGAGGTATGTTGAGGCATTCAAGGGAGGATAGTTGTTATAAAATGTGAATACCGTTTTAATCATAAGCCTACCTCTGTCATCTTTACTTATCCAAAGTATTTACACAGAGTAGTTTATCTCATAATTTTGTGGAATAAGAATTTGATTTCTGTCATTCATTCGAATATCTACAGTCACTCTCTGAGGCATATATATCCTAGTTCATTCCAGTTCTTTATGATCACAGGTTATGGGCAGCTATTTTGGGAAAATTTCTGAAGAAAATGTGAAGAATAACTTTGTGCTCATCTATGAACTTCTGGATGGTGAGTTTGATTTGCAATGCTGGAATATTAGTATTATCGATTTTCATCATTTTTTCATTTACATTGATTCATCAAAGAATGCAATTATTGTATTTTATAGCATTTTATTGCTCTGTTTGAATAAAAAGCTTATTCTCTTTGTTGGAAAGATGACTGAAAAAGTGCATAAAAGTAGAAGGAAATTGGTTTGACCAAAGCTAAGTATTTTTTGTGCTTGACACAATAAAAACAATTTATACCATTATAGTAGCATAAGCAGCTATAAGATGCTTGGAATCAAAGTCTGATATAATTTACTATCTAATTTAGTTTTCAAGGGAGATCATGAAATATTGGTTTATTTTCTACAACAGGAATCAGCTTCTTTGATCTTACTGATTGATAGTCTAGCTGCAACCATATTTATTTCCACAAAATTATTTACATACGAGTTAACACATGACTATACTAATTGCTGAGGCATGCCATTATTGTGAGACTATACACGGAAATAGTTCTTGAAAAGAGTCATCCTGGTGTGATAATAATGGTTGCAAATAGTGAATTTCACTTCCTGGCATTAATTGAGAAATTCATATCTGTGTTTATTTAGGATGCAAACTAAGAAAGGTCAAAGTGTGAAGTTTTCATAAGTCATGATTGGCATTGTAATAACCTTGCTCTTGCATGAACAAATGTACTAGTCTCAATTGTTTTTCACATTTGCCTGATACCAATGCATTAGCCTCAATGGTTTATCCAACTAGTTACCATAAAGTGGGGTGGGCCTGGTGGGATGACCTGGACTGTTTTACATTTAAGAAAAGAAAACCTTGAGTTGAAAAGTTCTCGCCTTAAAAAAATTATGTTGATGGCTCTTGAATAACCCGCAATTGAAAATAAGTCTCTTAACTTAACTTCTTAAGGCATAAAATTTATGGGTAGGAATTATTCCTTACATTCCTTCACTGTGTATCTGGATTTCACCCCAATCCCCTTGTTGCAGAAATCTTTGAGTGGTTGCTGCTTTAATTTATTCATGAATAGAATTTTGGTTTATTGATTTCTTTTATTCAATAATCAACCTTTTGTGTGGTCACAAATAATCTAAAGGAGGAAGTTTAGTGTCAAAATTTCAATTTATGTGTTTTATCAAAAATAAAACATTGCCTCTGGTACACTTGTGTCCCAATATTCAGCAGTGGCATATCATTGTTAGAACACAAATGGCACAATATGTGGAGAATGTGTTAAATAATGAAGCGCTATGTGATGTGGTTATCTAGTGAAAAGAACTATCATTAGATTCATTCAAAATTTTGTTTTTAGCTTATTATAGATTGATTCTTTGTTTTAAAATAATTCTGCCTTTTTTAAATTGTGGTACAATATATCAAAGTCAAATGATAGAAATGAAATCTTTTAAATTTGTTTACTATTACTCAACTCAAGTATTTTTGTGCAGAAATCCTGGACTTTGGATACCCTCAGAACACAGACCCTGGCGTGCTGAAGACATTCATCACCCAGCAGGGCATCAAGACGGCCAGCAAGGAGGAACAGGCGCAAATTACATCACAGGTACAACCTGTCATTATTATTTAATAACCATTATATGATGGTTAATTTATGACCCACCCACTCAGAACAAGGCTCAGATTCTTGAAATTGGGAAAAATTATATCAATGGTAGTAAATTCAAATGCTTTGGTTTTGACATGATTATATTTTTTATTTAAATCCGTGTCTAGTGTGCCTGAAGTGACCTGCTTTTGGCTGAAGTCAGTATTTTTTATAGAATGATCAAGCCTGCTTGTGCCGTCAGTCTGAAGTCATTAATTAGTTCTGATTAATCAATTCAAGAGAAGCCGTAACTCTTTTCAATTTTTATTTCTCTAATTGTAGTTCCTCTACTTTGACTACTGAACTTGAAACTGTGTTTTTAAGTGATTATAGATCCAAGTGCATCTATCAGTTATTTTGCAAAACGTGAATCTCGATGGTATATGAAAAAGCATGTATTTCATAGTCCAATGGTATTCTAAACATTGTTTGTAAGACTAATAAGGTTGACTATTAAGTGTTACTATGGTCCATAGATCAAATAATAAGATGATATAATGTAATACATGATCTCGCATATGTCTAGGTGACGGGCCAGATCGGTTGGCGCAGAGAAGGCATCAAGTATCGCCGTAACGAACTTTTCCTGGACGTCATTGAGTACGTGAACCTGCTCATGTCTCCCCAGGGTGAGTATTATCTATCTATTGCAATTTTTTGCTGGACATTCTCATATAATTACTCAAAACTTCATCATGTAGAAGGTTTACCAAGTGTTTGCCTAGGGAACCTTGCAGGTCTATACCAATGAAATCTATGATCTTGAGCTTCTAACATGCATTCTTTGTAGAATATTAATAATGTGTTCTTATGGTCATACAACTTGAAAGATGAGATAAATCGAGCAGAAATGATTGAATATTTATTTGCAACTAAATGTTCACATTTTTTTGCATGCAGGACAAGTGCTGTCTGCGCACGTGGCTGGCAAAGTGGTCATGAAAAGCTACCTCTCCGGCATGCCTGAGTGCAAGTTTGGAATTAACGACAAGATCGTCATGGATGCCAAGAAGGGTGAGCCTTGCATATTCTATTTCATTTATTACCGGTAATTCTTTCCTCTTTTTTCAACAGATACATGTACCCATCATCAATGCTATTTATATCTATAAGTCTGATAAAGAATTAAACATGGTACAATGTGTTCTGCAAAATAAAACCGGAACATTCTCGTGATTGCAATTTTGTATTCAATTTAAACTCAATTTATTAAACTTGATGTATTCCAATAATACAAGACAACTTTGATGTAAATTTATCGCTTATATTGCTACATGACAGCAGTTTTAATCCTTGCCTTCAATATAGCTTTTATCAGAAGCATGTACAAAAGTATTTATGAGGATTGTTGAAGAAATGAGCAAATGCTAACGTTTCATAGACTAATTTTATCCATTCGCCGAAACGTTTTTTGACCATTAAAGCTTATGTGCTTGGGTGTTGTGAAAGAAATGTTTGCTGTGTGTTTACTGCGTTATTTACTTTGTTTTATTAACATTACTATACGTATTATGGTTTCCTATGTTATGTTCATGCAGGCACGACCGACGATGCACAGCGAACAGGCAAGACGAGTATCGCCATCGACGACTGTCAGTTCCACCAGTGTGTGAAACTCAGCAAGTTTGAGACAGAACACAGCATCTCCTTCGTGCCGCCTGATGGCGAATTTGAACTTATGAGGTAAGTCTCTATACTAATAGCCTTAGCTTTATTTAGCTAACCTTTAAGAACCTTCTAATTATTCTGTTACTCTGTTCTGTTTATATGCACAATAAAACTAGCGATTATGAAAGCTTCATCTTGAAGTGCCAATGGATGCGTCGAGTGTGTGCATTTAGAGCGCACTTTTTTTATTGGTACCTTCCTGCGAGATGTCGTAATTCACAAACTATGCTTTGTTACTATAATTCTCACATTGCAGTGGGCGTTTTAAAATGTCCGACATATTGGAAAGAAGTTGATGAAGTTCAGAAAGCAACACAGAATTGTTATGCCTATGTTATCTTGCCTATTACTAAGCTGTTTCTTCCGTGATCTTAATAATAATTTATAATATAATCCGCCTATAATAATTTATGGGCTAATTTGTCCATTGCCACGCTAGTGCACCGCCTCTGAATCATAGTTCGAGGTACAAACCAGGGATTTTTTGTCCAAGCTCAAAATTAACAAAAGTTTCTCCAAAAACAACAAAAAATATTTCCAAATTTCTCTGTTTCGTGGGTTGGAATCTCATCAAGTTGCTCACGTCTCCCTCGCCAACAATGAATGAAATGTGCATTTTAGCCATTTCTTCATTTGCATCATTAATAACAGTTTAATCGTTTGATTTTATTTTTACCTGGATAGAGTTCATTTGTGTCCTGAACAATATTTGAATAATGTTTTGCATGAATGACTGTATAGAGCTTTTTGTATAAAGCTTTTTGTGCCTTAACATTAAAGCTCTATTGCATTTCCCTTTCTTTAATATATTTTCCTTTGATATATGTTAATATTGCAGGTACCGCACCACCAAAGACATCTCTTTGCCCTTCCGCGTGATTCCACTGGTACGGGAGACAGGACGTACTAAGATGGAAGTTAAGGTTGTTATTAAGAGCAACTTCAAGCCTTCTCTGCTGGCCCAGAAAATCGAGGTAAGACCAAGTAAACAACCGTTTTGATGGTGGGTGGTTGCCAAACGAGCTCTGTTCCTCAAATAAGGGTGGAAGTTTTAATTGGATTTGGTGTTTGCTTTTAAATCAAAGTTATTGTTCATTTAAAAATCGCCATTTACGCACGAACCATAATGAATATTTAATGACTGTTTTACGTTAAATTTTACCATTCCTTCCTGGCTTATTCCGGCTTACCTGCTGGACCTTGCATTCAACATAACTTTTGTACTTCCTGGAAAACCGCTACACGTTGTACTTCCCGAGCATTCATTCATCTCCCTTCATTAGAGAAAGATTCAATTTTCAACCAATTTATTGTGAGGTACCTATTCATTCTGGCAAACTTCATGGCAGCTCAAAAGCAATCTCTAGGTCACTGAACATTACAGGTGCGCATCCCGACGCCCCTGAACACGTCAGGCGTGCAGCTCATCTGCATGAAGGGCAAAGCCAAGTACAAGGCAGCTGAGAACGCCATTGTCTGGAAGTGAGTCATTGGTCTGGAAGTGAGTCGTTGGTCTGGAAGTGAGTCATTGGTCTGGAAGTGAGTCGTTGGTCTGGAAGTGAGTCGTTGGTCTGGAAGTGAGTCATTGGTCTGGAAGTGAGTTGTTGGTCTGGAAGTGAGTCTCAGTTTTTAAATTTAGCTGCCTGTTATCACGTCCCTTTTTTCTCCCCAGATATTATTTCGCCTGACTGTGATCGCGGGCGAATTCAGTAAGCATTGGTTAATGAAATTTGCAAGCTGTGATGTCGTTTTTTTTACTGCGCGGTTTTTGTAAGAGGATGCGGCTTCCTTTCTTCCACATACGGCTGGATGGCTTAATTTTCCTTTCGTATACCATGAATTTAAATGCTTATTATATTTTTTAATTCTAAATCGTCTGACACCTGAATTGTTCTCCGTCCTTGAGCTTGTCTTGATAGCAATATTTGTTTCCATTTGTTCAGGATCAAACGTATGGGAGGGATGAAGGAATCTCAGATTTCGGCTGAAATCGAGCTTCTGCAGACCGACAACAAGAAGAAGTGGACCCGACCGCCCATCAGCATGAACTTCGAGGTAAGTTTTTCAATAATTATACTGCAATATCAAGATCATTGCTCGATGGCAAGACTTGGTATGAATTTTTGTCTTAGCTAAATGTTCTTCTATTGGCTTGAAACTTTTTTTTCGTAATTCGCATGTATCATCTGTCTGCGTAGCGGCGGCCCCATTAGTTTCCAGTTTGAAGTGAAGCTGAAGTATCTGAGCTTCTGAGCTGAAGTATATAAACTTTAGAGTATCTCTAAATATGGTACATGGTAGGCAAATTTTCATTCGTTGATCCATGTCCTCTATATGGTATCTTTCTATCACCATTTATAAACTTACATCAACAACGTTTCCAGCAGTGTTCCTCAACGCGGTTGTAAGCATTCGATTTTTTCATTGCGCGAGCGTGACGAGGTCTTACTTGCAGGTTCCTTTCGCGCCATCGGGCTTCAAGGTGCGCTTCCTTAAGGTGTTCGAGAGCAAACTGAACTACTCCGACCACGACGTCATCAAATGGGTGCGCTACATCGGGCGTTCTGGCCTCTACGAAACGCGTTGCTGAGTGCGCTGCTGTGTCTCAAAACTGCATCATCCATTCAGTCGTCTTGCAGTCGCGCTTTGTGTTCAAGTTGCTATACTCGAAAATATCAATAATATTGTTAGCACTGGTTATTGAGTAATTGGATTACTTATTTCATAGATTTTCAGCATGTATTTATCCTTAGATTTCATTATTAGTACCTTGCTCCAATGTAGCCATTATCTGTGACTAATCTCTTGGGTTATTTAGAGATTAGATTTGAAGATCCAATCAGTAGACATCGTCAGCCGCGTAAAATTAGTTGCTGGTGAATCTCGTAGCTACTCTTGTGAGCTTCTAATTAAATTAATTAAATATAGATTATTCTGAAACAATTCAGTCATGCACTTCAGTCACTATCAAGCTTAAGAATAATCTGTGCTAGCATCTATTACTCAAAACTTTACAATCACCCTCATCATCTGCATTCTACTTACTTGTTCGTGAAATATTACTTGTCTAGTGCAACGATTCATTCATGATATTGAAGAACTTTAGTGGTTGCTCCATCATCTGGCATGGGTACAGACGAGTGTTCTTATCGCACCAGATAGCCCGATGCAGCGATTCAGTTGTTGAGTTGTTCTTGGAGACTCAAGAGTTACAAATCTTCATTGGAGGTGTTGACTGTTGTCAAACTTGAAATTAATTAATACGGTGTCAGTCTGTTGATTACCAAGAGCATGTCTTGGATGTCGTTTACATTCTCAAAAATTCCTTGCTCTCTCACTGCTTTGCATCTGACGTTCATTAGCTCGAGTACGATGTGTTGGTGTGTAACTCAGTGTCGCGCTGTTTACAGTTGTTCATATTAGAGGCGTAAGACGATGTTGGCCCTAAAGTAGACTCGTGAGTTATGTCCCTCATTAGTAGACGCTTTATGGCGAGTTTCATAAAACTGTACATCCAAGTTAATTTATTTTTATTTTTTTTAGTGTTTGCCTTTCATGCCTCGTTGTTGTTGTTAAAGTTAATTATTTTTCTCTTTGCTGCGCGAGAGTAATCGTTTCCTACCTTTATCTCTTCGAACAAATTATTTACGTCAATTATCCTGTAAGTGTGGATCTTGTTAATTGACCTGTCACTCATGGCTGACCAAACTTCTTCTTTATTTTCTCCTACAGCTATCGCTATGAAGTGTTCTCGTCTCCTACAGTTGACCATGTCTAATCCATGTAATTGACGTGTCCAGAGAGACACGACTCATCACCACAATGGTAAATGTGATATTTCATATCCTTCAAAGTCGCCAAGTTCAGTTTTTATGCCTGGAGTGATTTTTTGCTCGCGATAGAACATTTAATTTGATATTTGTTGCAGTTCATATAAATAATCCAATAAGCATCACTGTCAGCTATTGCTGCCTGAATATATTGGGGTTGTTTTATAAGCGTTTTCTTCGTATGATCTTTCCTTATTCACGGATGAAATTGTGCATTTCTTTTCTTAAGAGTGAAAGATGATCTTCCTAAATGTATTAGTTTCATAGTTACATTACTTTTGTTCTTTCAATTTCTTTATTTCCCTGATGTCCTTATTACAGTATTTGTAGTAAATTATATATCCTTTTCCCAACTCAACATGAATGTAATATAAGAATATTCCTGTTGATTAATCAGTTATTTTGCCTTTAATGTTGGTATTATACACTACGCTCTAGATAACGAATGCTACAGGAAGTTGTGACATAATAAGTCAAGGAGGGTCATTGTTCCTGCTCAACTGAATTTAGACAAACACGCTGTTAATTGCGACGGCGCTTATGCGTGGACGGGGGATAGCGACCAGAAAGGCGGGGTCGAGTGAAGGAAAAGGACGGTGGAGAGAAAAGCCTCTGCCTTCGCTAGACCGTCCCGCTGAGTGGTGTTCGAAACACAGATCAGTCAAAGAGTTGTTGCGTCGACTGAAAGGGTTCCCTACACTCGGGACAGGCGACGTTATGTGTGGGTCAAACCTAGAAGGTGCAAGATGCCAAGGAACTGTAGTGGCCCAAGCGCAGCTTTGCCGGCGATGAGCGGTGAGGGCGATGGAGACGGTCCTCGGAGGCGACGGGAGGGTTAGGGCGGCCGAGGACCTGTTGATACCAGCGGTTGCGGTGACGCGTACGGATGTTTCTCGAGGGAGAGTTCGTTTCGCCTCATCGTAAGACAAGTCAGGCATATTGCCAACCATAAAGAAGAATGCGACAAGGTGACCAATTCTGGAGGGTGCGGAGACGACGGGAAAGGAGGAGTGGAAGATCATTTAAGTCCGTCGAGATCCGATGTGTGAAGTGAAGCATTAGGCGACGAGTGTTGCGGCGGTGGGGGTGGGGAACTACGGATGAAAACTGCTTGCAGAAGGTGAGGGTGATTTTTCTTTGGGAGGTGAGACGGATCAGGTTGAACTACACTGGCTGGTTAAGGGATGGACGGGAGCGCCTATCGGCGAGAGAGCGGAGGAGGTTCCAATGCTTGCAAAGGATGCTTGGTCTCTCAGGTGTGGGACTGCAGAGATTTAGTGTTCTCCTGATAGATAACCGAGAGTCATAGGAGTCCCTGGCTGTGATCGCGTCCCGTAGTTCAAGGAAGCGGGAAAGGATGTTGTGTTTGGCAACCGCAGAAGGATGCCTCTCAGTCACTTCGCTTCCACACAAGGTGGGGGCGGGAACCGTCTCGAGAGCGGCCGTGAAAGCAGGCCAGTCGGCTTTATTGAACTTGGTGATTGAGCAAGCAGATCGGGGAACTGGGGTGGCGATTAGGGGAGGCTGGGTGATCAAAATGGGTAGATGGTTAGAATTAAGTGCAGTGTGAGTGAGCCAGGTCGTGTCCGCGAGGAGATGGGAGCTGATGTTAGTAAGGTCTGGTGAAGATACGTCGCCGTGGTGCGAGAGGCGGGCAGGTGAGTCATTGAGGATACTGAAGTTAGAGGCGGAGATGAGGTCATCGATAATAGACGTTCTGGCCACAACTCTCTCGTCTTCAGTAAAGAAGTGCCAAGATGCATGGTGGACATTTAAGTCGCCCACAATTAAGCAATCGATGTAATGGCAAAGAAAATTACCGACGTCTAGGGAATATCCCGAGGGCATAAGGTGGCGGGGGTATATGTTAATGATGCAGATGGTGGAGCCTTTAAGAGAGACGACGACAGCCATTACCTACATGGAGACCTCCACATTAAGGAGATCGCCGGTGCCTCTGTGAATGTACGACATGTCGTGGCGGACCAAAAAAGCTAAGCTGCCACCGCGACTCCCGGAGCGATCCCAGCGCGCAACAGCAAAACCGGGGAAGACGGGGGGGGGGGGCGGGAGTTTGTTGCCAATTTTGCCTCTTGAAGACAAGTAATAAGAACTTCATGTTAGATTAAAAATGATGTGAATTCCACAGCGCAGGAGTGAATGTCATTGCAGTTGAATTGGAAGATATTGAGGTGGGAAGAGGCCGGGTCGAAGAGGGGAAGAAGAACTATTCCGAACAGGGGCCAAGGCAGCCTGGCTGGAGGTGAGGCAGCTACAGTCGGTGGTGTAGTGGCGGGTGGCCAGCACATCGCTTGCGAGTACAAGCATTGTCCCCGGAACATAGCAATAAAATACCTCGCCAAGTCACCGGAAGGAAGCAAACCGAGCATGCAAGGATGGGGGCTCGGGTTAAGGTCAGGAGGAGATTAAAAATGTGCGCCAAGGACAAGGCAAATATGTATCTCGAGGCGAGAGGAAAAATAGGCAGCCACAACGATGAGTAGTGGTCCGAGGAGCTATAGTTCCTCGACCCTTGGTAAAACGATGATATTCTTCGACGATACCAGCGTGGGAGGCCTCTACCGTGACATGCGGCGATCCACAAGCCCGGCCCGTTCACAAGCCACAACGCAGACGCGGCAACGATTGGAGGTCAAAGACATATAATGGAAGCAAATGTAATCGAATAAGGAAGCATTTCATTACAGCACGAGAGCAAGGCACAGCAAATGGATAATAATACATTTTTTTATATATGTAGTGCCATGATTTGGTAAACCAATATCCTATCGTTTGTTATTTACACATAAATTTTCGTTCGAACAAACCCATCCAACATGGCTGAAGGCATATCTTCTTACATCTTCTACATGTAACAACAGGTTTTCGCACGTCTGATTTATATTGCGCACACCGTACACTTATCTAAAGTAACGTTAGGGCTACACTCGTTAAACCCACAAGGAGGATTTGAAAATTTCGGAACCAACACAAGTCGTAATTACATCAAATGAATTTTTCAATAATTCTTCTCTGTTTTCTTTCGGTTCTTCGACAAAACAAAACTTAATCGCATATGCAAAAATCGTTCAATGAATAAAAGCAGTACTGAAACTGGCACTCAGAAACGAAAAGTTAAAAAAAATGAATAATTGCACAGAAACGAAGATGGCTTATAAAAATCGGCGAATGCTGATACGGGAGGCGAAGATTGCGAGAAATCATGCCTACATACTAGCTTAAAAATAGTATCAGTCAAGGCTTGTGTTACCATTATGCGATAGAACAAATTTACTTGGAAAATATATTGCTGGTTACATGGAACGCCTGAAACAATACAAGTACGACCACGCATTAGGCATAATTATCCAAATAGTATTGAATAACACGATTTCTATCTGACTTAACAAGGCAGACCAAATTGATAAATGAATACAGTACATCATTAGTGGTAGTGGAAATAATAAAACAATAAACAAAAGGCACCAAGCAATGCATTTCTCATCGTAGTCTCGGCTAAATTCACGCACTGGATATTGCACATAAGACATTCTCATTTTTAACCCATTGACACGCAAGAGAATTACTTAGCAATTGTTTGATGCCTCACGTTGAGTCAAAAAATTTGAATTTGGAACGTTTAGTGAAGGTAGTAAATTGTAGAAATGCTCCCGTTTCATTTATTTCAGTCTGTTTGATCGAAGTTAAAATTCTAAATGCTCCTATTTTACTTAAAAGTCGTACTAAGATTGGATGGCAATTCTCACGCTAAAGTCGAGCAAAGCAAAGGCGAAAAATGCGATAAAAAAAAATCTTCATGACAGCGGCTAAAATGTCAGGCCAAAACCATAAAGTTACACAATGAATTCAATAACGTACCCAACCTGCCTCTAAATTTACAAAATAAGGCCTATTCATTACTCAGAAAAATTGACGCGTCCTTTAGTCCAAATAGTGACACGCTTCCCCCGCGTACGTAGCACTGATACGCCCCTAGGCCGGGCCAACTGGCAGAGGCAAAAAGTACATCAATTCTTAGACTTTCTGCGATCATTCTTCCGAGTTATGAAATAATATTGGCTTGTTAATCATACGAGGACAACTTTGAGGCCACAGACAAAAAGAACGACAACCAAGGCGATTATGACGCAACTGACATAATCATCAGGGGTTACGGTAAGGCAGCGATAGTGCGGGTTGCTTGTCGTTCGTTTCATGCATCCGTGTGTGTATTATAGATTTAAGAGAACGATACTAAAATGTCGTGTCCTTATTTTAATTAAAATGGAATTGACGAAGATATAAGTGGATGAAATTCAAAATGACTATTTGAAAAGAGTTTTACAAAAGGCATCTGAAACCGCATCTCATTTATGAACGTCCAGATTAAAATTTCTTTAGTGTGATTATCGTTATGTCTCCTTAATTCCCTTATTGACATGATGGAATTCGATGAAAAATCCCACAAGTTAAATGTAAGATAAATAATTCGCCAAGAAAATGATCACAATCGTTGCTTTATTTAAAAAGGAATCTTATTGAAATTTCTCAAAATCCCACCCGGTTCTATTAAACAAATCTTCGCTGTCAATTTTGTGGGATCAGTACTTGTAAAATTATTGACCTAAAATGAAAGTTGTCATATAACTGTCAATTAAAAAACACGGTTTCGAGAGACACCGTACCGCTGCACATAAAATTATTGCCCCATCAAATAGTGTTCCTGAGAGTCACTGAGACCATACTTCTAGTACATAACTTCGTACATAACATCACACGAGGGGCAGGCATCTTTATAGTAACGCCTGTGTGCACATCACACGAGGGGCACGCGCCTATAGTAACGCCTGTGTACACATCACACGAGGGGCACGCGCCTATAGTAACGCCTGTGTACACATCACACGAGGGGCACGCGCCTATAGTAACGCCTGTGTACACACTATCACCCTGTGTACATACTATCACCCTTTGTACATAACATAACACGACTGACTTATTCCATGTACTGCCGGCCGTCCAGCCTCGCCGCGAACTCTTTTACGAAGTCTCGGAAGAAAAAGGCGTCCACATTCTTGCCTGTGGGATAAAACAGAGATAAATAGGCTTTAGAGCAATCAAAACGGCCTAATAAATGTACAACATCCACAATTCTCGGTCTTCTGGTCAAAGAGAGGTTGTTCATTCTGTATCGTTAGGTTTGTAAAAGATAATACCAAATATGTGCATTATTCCCTTTCGCAAGGTCTATGCAGTTAGTTTAACGTGAAAAGGCGAAGAGTTCTGCCAGTGTTTAAGAAGTTACTTCTATTACCACAAATGTATTTCAGAAAAATTACTCTGCCGAAAAGTGCATACATGCATTCGTACTTTATACATGTATTTAAGTAAATTTTCGTTTTATTATTTAAAAATGAGAATTAATTAAATTATTTCGTTAGTATTTAAGTTTAATGTTTTCAGACATCATTTAACAAATTTAAATCAACTTTAACAATTTCATGCCTTTGGCCTAAACATGTTAATGTTGAGCAGTTATCATTCTCAGTTTGTTTTCAGTCATTAAACTGAATATCGTCAAACATTGTAGGAAATTACGTTAAAAATTCAAAAGGAAATTACTTAGTAGAGAACAGCTTTCATATCTAAGCAGCCAGTACTCACTGAGTCTCCGCAGCAAGAACCAGTCTCCGTAGTCGCATTTGTGGGCAACAATTTCGACATCAATCTTTTCTTCGTTATAACAACATATTGATTTGAAGATTCTCGTGCGCACACGCTTGTGGAACGTGACAAGTCTGTAGATGAGACCAATGCCTGAGATGGCCGCTACGATGATAAACCAGAACCAGAGGAAGATGTAGATTTTCTCGTTGATTATATTGAGTGGCAAGACACACAGCGCGTCGTGCGACTCGATGCTGCCTGACGCGCCGTACTTATGGAATGTGCACTTGGTTACCTGCACATTGTACATCGCATTTAATCTTATTTATTTTACATCCAGCAGATTAGTCCGGCGTTGCCCTGAGCCAATAATTCCTGTCATTGTTTAATCTCGTTATCCTGAATCGGATTCACTAGAATACTACTGAACTACGTTCATGAAAGAAGCCTAGTAAAACTAACATTTATATCAAAATTTCATATAACTCCCTTAACAAAATGCGAAGAAAACATCAAGTTTCTAAGCCAATTGGAAAACAAAACTTTTATTTTTGATATTATCTTTTCCTCCCAGTTTTGTTGCAATACTTAACTGTTCTCCATTATGAATAAAATTTTATGTTTAAAGTAAAATCCTGATAACGCAACGTATCGTGGTTTCGTGCCTGAACAGCCTCTTTTAAATTTTCAGCGCCAGGTTTCAAATACAAAAACAAACGCACAAACTTCGAAAATACATATTATATAGACAATTAGAATGATCTCAAGTATTATTTAAGGATTCTTGCTAGTCATGTTACGCCAGACAAACAAGCATCTATAACGTCAACTATGATCGACGCAGATCGCAACTTGTTTACTTGCTCATGTTTTCACACACGACTTCAAACTGGATTTGTTTTATCACTCCTTCTGATCTTCAGTAGATTAATTTTATTATTATTATTATTTTTGTTATGTAAACTGGAAGATGATTCTGAATACGGTAATTAATATCTACTATTACTATGATTTAGAATCCGGCTATTTTAAGATTATTATCAAGACTATTGTTATTCCCATAAACTGCTTCACTAATTAAGATTATTTACTTCAATAAACTAAATGACTTCTGACCTTGGGGAAAATGGCGTCCATGGTATCGTGCCGAGTGCCCATTTCCTTCTCAGAAACAAACAGGACATCAGTTCCATATGTAGTGAACTGGTAACCTAGAAACCTACGAAAAAATCTAACATAAAAATGTATAGCTGGGTAAAAAGTTAGGGTTCCGAAGAAACTTTTGAAAATAAACCTACGTTAGCGGTTGGTCTCTAAAAATATGTTATTTGCAACTGAAAAGAAAAATGGACATTTCAATTTCAAATAAATATAAATAAGCCATTGAATTGCAGAAATCTCCCAGAATTAATTTTATTGTCAGTAAACAGCAGTTTGTTATTCATTGAAAATTGGCTCGATAATTCTTCGAATATGAATACGTCAAAATATTTTCTTCCGAATGTAAAATCTGTTTAACCTAGTCTCGGCCCATGCGTATACGTGCAATTCGCGAAAATGAGTAATAGATTAATACTTAGTTTATTTCAAGATTAGGCGATATATGTAATACCTGTCAGTGAAGTAAATCTGGCCAATAACGTTAGCGAAGTTTGCTATTTCGCACAAGACGTATTTGACGGCATAGAACTTGTGCCCGTGTAAGTTGCTATTGAAGTAACTAAGAAGTGCTTCAAGACGAACTTGCTTGTCTTCTTGGTCAATAATAACGGTGTTGACACCGCTTGATAGCAGCTTCATCTTGCCTCCTTCCCAGACTTTCCAGATGTAGCGGGGCAGGTAGAAAAGAATCGCCTGAGATACAAAATAATACACATTTTTAAATTTCCAATGAATACTAACGTATTTCACATATCTGTTAGCAAATATTTTACTATATCGAATAAAATTGGTCACGCTTTCATAGAAGAAATGAGGTATTTAATTTTCTTGGTTATTGACAAACGCGTTGCGTTGGGCTTGCCACGAGACCAACGTATTACAGAGGGCCTTAATATTCATACAACGTACGCTTGTTTCGATGAACCATGATTACACAATCGTAGGACAAAGATATTCGAAATAATACAACGCAAATTGATGTTATAATGTATGCATGAGAAAAATGAAAGGTGACTGACTGAATACCAATTGGAGTTCCACTTGGTGCCTCATTTAAGCCTTCCTGTTTGTTCTTAAATCAGTATATACATAACTTTGTATCGTTTTACACAGTGCTTGTGAATATAAAAATGGCATTTAATCTAATTATTTCCATAACTTGCTATTGTACTAAATAATTTTATTGTACTTGGAGAGATAAAACTTGTTAGATTGAAAAATATTATGCTAAGATTATAATAGTCGATTATTTAGTTATGAAGCAACGTAAAAACGTATGCTATTCGTTTCTTGAAACCAGTTGCGCGAGAGAAATGTGACGGGGAAAGGAGATACGACGTGAAGAGAAGATCTGACGAAAGTTCTCTAGAAACGTCCGCCAATGCTACATATACGTAGGTATATATCCTTCAGCCGTCGAAAACTGATTTCTGGCAAGGCCACATCTAGATTTCATACCTGAACAAGCACTGTTCCTAATGATCTTGAATAAGTGGAACAAATTGCATTGCCCGAATCATCAATTTTAACGAATCGTAAATACTGGATTTCATACCGGCGAACTTGAATTAGATGTTGCCACATCTTTTATTAGACAACTAAAGGTATCTCTAGGTCTAGAGTCTAGACTCTTGTGCCGGAGTTATTGAATAGAAATTTCCAGTATGAGTGTGGTATCTCCAGTACAGGAACACATTCGTATACTTTACCGATTACATTTGAATGAATTTAGAGGCCCACCGAGTCTCCCTTTACTTAGTTAGCCCTAACCACAGCTAATCGACAAGTATGAACTCTTTGTGAAGACTAGTTTACACGAAGCACATTCGGCCACATTAAAAACGAAATTAGCTTGATCGAAGTGGTCTCAGATTTGTTGATATTTCTATTCAACTCGAAATTCTCTCAGAAATACATACGTGTGACTGTTAGTAAACGTTTTATGTATGGCCGGCACATGAAGTTAGTACGAATTGTATGTATATGTAGGACGCTGTTGTCTCAACGGAATTGTAGTAAATTATAGTTTGAAGCAGCTTCAAACATTTCGGCCTCCGTTTCCTTTGTGTATCAATATCCCCGTAATAAAAAACAATGATAATCAGCAATCTTCTCCGTGAAACTCGATTTGAACCTCCAAGTCTACAATTATTTCACCAAATTTTTAAACTGAGTAATGGGTAATATGTCGTCATAATGTCGATATTAATTATCCGAATTACTTGGGGATGTGATGTATGATCTCTTCGCTACGTGCTAGTACCACAATAAACATAATTCAAGTAGGCTAAATTAAATGAAGCAAATACTTAAAAATTTATTAATTTATTTATTGGTCTCGATTAATTATAAATTATCCGTGTCAATAGTAACGGTCCTTACAAGACGCGTGTCAAGTTCTTCAACGACTCTGGTTGCCTATGCCAGGATACGCTGGCCATAACCAGTTTATTAACCACCAGTCTAGCGCAGAAACAACACAGGTATACATTTTTTCCATGGGGTTTTCCACGTCTTGGAACAGGTGTCGTAATTTTTTACGGTACAATACAATAATAATTAATATTGAGTTAACACTTTACTACATAACAGTGAGATAACCAGATTAATTTAGCGTTGGAACGGTATAGAACTTATTTATGTTATTGCGAGTAAAAATATACAGAAACTTTCGGTGAAGATCGAAAAAACACGACGTGAACGGTAGACCGTGACTTAAACTTCGAAATGAACATGGCTTTTAGCCTACTTTTAGTTTAGACTTTTTCACAGTATATTAATGAAAGACAATCCACATATGTCAGCAAGATTAATTTAACGTTTCACATGTTTACGCAAAGAATAAAATAAAATTATAAGAAAAAAAAACAACTTACTTGAAAGTAAAGCATGAGTGTCACCCACTGATAGTATTTGTGGTAACGAACTTCAGAGCCTTCTTTGATCAGCGCGGGACTTGCAATGCCTGGATGAGGTATATCTTTACCGACCGTTTTATTTCCAAGATCCGGAATAGTGTAAGTGGAATGGATCCAACAATAGGTGTCCATGAGGTAAGGAGGAATTTTGTCGACCAGACAGTCTATAGGATCTCCAAAATATTGCTTTTGAGTCACCAACAGAGAAAAGGCCACTAGGAGAAACATCGTTGCTTTGTAATGCAATCTGAACACATAATTGTCGATTGAGACTGAGTCTATTTTAAGTAAACCTCGAATGGAACCAAAAACGTCGGACATGCTTGCGATTTTGTCTTGCCAGTTGCCACTAACTGCACGAGCAATGCCAGTTAACCTTCTACCACCATGTCCAGCAGACAACTGGAAGAACGGCCGTGCGCAGTGGGCGGCGTAACGTGATAGGCCTTCTCGCACCCCGTTTTCTAATAAACTTAACAAAAAAACAAATACAATGGTAACCTATACAAAACTATGCATTGCACTCTATGCACTGAAAAATATCTGTATAAATATCTGTTATTGAAATGTAATAATCCTCTACTATACGTTGGTATCATAAGTTTTGAGATTAATCTAACGATTTTTCTGTGTTATAAATTAATATTTTAAATAAGAAAAGAGTAGAATTTTTCAAAAACAAAGTTGTTCAAATAACTCAAGGCCACATATTCAGTTATAAGCAAAACTGCAATAATGGTAATATAAGAGCGAAAATTTGTGTCAATTGATTAAATATCATTTGTAAAACATTAATTTAAGTGTCGATACTCTGCCCTCATAAAACACTTTCCGGATGCGGCTTTGCATCACCGGAAATCACCAAAGTGTCTATTTGACTGACACTTCTTATTTTAAGTGAGAATTGGCAACAAAAATAATCATATATTTCCAGATTCGTACGTAATATTTATTGAAATCATCGTATTTATTTATAATTCAGAGTATTGTTGAACAATAAGCGCAATACTTGAATATTTTTATTGGTGATATTAATTCTCAAGGACACTGTTTGCATGCGCTACTTTCTTTAACCTACCGTAGAGGATTTTTAGCATATAACAAGTTGTTCTTGAGATATATGAGCAAAAGTACTTTAAAATTTGTAAAAAAAACTGCTTGCCCATTTTCATCTGCATAAAATGATACTACGTTGTATGTATAGATATAACCTGGTCGTCTTCTTATGGTCAGAACTCGTCGAGCTTGCGACTTTTAAATTTTATTCCAGTAGCAAAAAGCGCTGCGTAAATCACTCAAGTCAATCTCAAGTAATCATATCATTCATATGTATAATTTGCCGCTATATACAGTATGTCTGAAGTCCTCTATTACATGTTTTAAAAACAGTGAAATGTTATGTATCAATCTTTAATTTGTTAAACAGAGTCCAGAGAACTTCATTTGTAAATCCGAATAGGTGTCTTGGTGAGTTGGAGAGACACGATGTCATGGAGCTTCTTTCCTTTGACGACACACTTGTACGGTATATGCGTTCCATTGATCAGACTTGGTGCATTCATGCATGCAGGTGCGCTACGTGACATGAGCCCAGCATGGTAGCCTCATGTTCATCTTTCCCAGCACCTGTACCCCCAAGTGATACGGTATATCACGGGCCATGAAATTTTCCAGTTATACAATGGTATGCTGGTGCGGGATGAATGAAAACATAATGCTGGTGATGAACTCAGCATTATGTCCATCGTTCCTAGCCCCTGTACCCTTAAACGGAACGTATATATTCTATATATCACGGGATGTGATAATAATAATAATAATAATAATAGCGCTACAGTGTAAAATCATGAATATGTTATCTCTAACTTCTGTGAAGTTTACAGAGTTGTTATTAGATTGCTTCATTTCAAACCATATAATCGATTTTGTCACACCCTTAACTATAGTATGGACGAAAAAACTTTTTTTTCTGAAACTTTTGGAGAGAATATGGAAGCGAAAATTGGGCTGTGATGCATCAGTACCTTCATCACTGGGCGAGGAAAACTTCCTTGGAAACAAATTAAAATAATTAATATCATTTTGCTTTCTTACTTCACAAATTAATCGAGAACTTGGGAACCAATAAATTGTCAACAAAACTTACTACGAGGCATGTTTCATGAGTAAGGACCGTTTTGGAATTAAAAAAAGATGTACAAAGATATTGCAATGATTTTATTTTTACATGAAAGCCTGTACCTTAATCTATTTTTTTCTACATAATTTCCGTGAATATTAAGGCACTTGTCATAACGTGGCATCAGTTTTTGAATACCCTCTTGATAAAATTCTGCCGCCTGACTTGGAGGTGAAATTCTGCTGAAAAACGCCTGAAATTTCTTCTTCCTGACGAGTCAGGCGGCAGAATTTGAGGCGTTTTTCAACAGAATTTCACCTCCATTTCAGCAGAATTTCACCTCCAAATCAGGCGGCAGAATTTTATCAAGAGGGTATTCAAAAACTGGTGCCACGTTGTGGCAAGTGCCTCAATATTTACGGATATTATGTAGAAAAGTAGATTAAGGTACAGGCTTTCATGTAAAATAAAATTATTGCGATATCTTTGCACGTCTTTTTAAATTCCAAAACGGTCCTTACTTAAAAAAAAACATGCCGAGTGTGTTTTTGTTGACAACGTATATTACATGTTACAAAACTTCTTATTACTCATTACAAAATACGGAAAATGAGAACATCGTGAATTAACTTAACAGTTTCGTTTCAACCGACTTCTTGATTAAAAACTTGAAAATTACGGGAAATATGATCTTGCTGAAAGTTTTATGTTACGTGCAATAGAACAAAATTTGCTTCGCGTTAATCGTACTCATTGGGAAAAGAAGTGTGCAATCAAATTGCACACTTTTCTTAATGTAAAACTCTAGACTCTTATAGAGTCTAGATTGTAAATGATGCACAAAGATATTTCGAAAGAACTTCAACTCAGCAACACGCTATTCAATAAGATTAAGAATATCAAATTGTTTTATACATCTTTAAAAAGCACTGTACATAATTTAATCGCAGAAAATCCATAGATACTTACTTATTGAGCTACAATATTTTTACCGAGAGACTAGATAAGAACTGTTGTGTAACACTAAAATGACTAAATTCCTCAACACTCCGCCAGAGGGGGCGGAGCCATGATCGGATGCTGCGGGTAAAGTTTGACGACGTTTCCTGCGAAGAGCCGCGGGTCTGCCGAAGCCCAATGTCGTCATCTGAGGAGCGAATTTTCCCTTTCCGGTAAGCAACTTCCCACCATGGTCGTTTTCTGGCAAATTGACCGGATTGACGTAATTTCCTCAATGCATATAGAGCTTGATTTTGCTAGAATTTATCTCGTATAGGAAATAAAAAAGCTGCCATAGTTACTCATGTTCTTTGAACAGTTGGACGGAGAATTCGCGAAAACATCTGCAAGCTGCGATTCAGCTAGGTAGTCATGATATAATAACGATATGTTTCATGTCATATTTTGAAACATATTCATAGAAAATTTAGTCATGCCAGTTTTTTGTTGAAATTATCAGCTGCCATCGCATTGTTCAATAAAGTAGGAACAGAGTGGCATTGATTGTGAAAATCGTAGTAAATTTTCACAAGTGTTCATTTGTCATTTTCATCTTTTTTTAAATTTACTGCAAATGTGCCTCCGGTCCGGGTGTTCATGCCTCTGTTGGCCGGTTTTCACTATGCCGGCAGACAAATTACAATAGAAAGAACTTCATATAAATAATGGAAGGTATTTTCAACGTTCAAAAACAGACCATACAACGTAAATCCTATAATTATAATTTATTCAATCTGTAAACATTTAAACAGCATAATTTAAGTTGATTGACGATGTGATATCATCTCATTAATCTTTTCTCACATTTATGGCATGAACCACTCCGTTTATTGTACTTTTTTCCGCGGCAATCAAAATAATAAAGAAAAATTCTTTGTTCCTCTGATGCACCGCTACGGGCGCTAGAAGCCAGGGCAAGCGGCTGGGTCAGAGACCTGTGAGCTGGGCAGTGTGTGTCGCGATGGGTGACCTTATCATGAATACCATATAGGATACCCCACCCATATTATTATTGCAGGCGTACGTTTCTTGATCAACAAAAATCAGACATCCATGATCCCCGTATTCATAATTAGAATTTCATCTAAAGGGGCGGAACGTAGAACGTTGCGATGAATATAGTTTAAAACTCTTATGCCTCGGTTACATTCGTACCTATTGACCTATGTTACTCAATATTGTTTCCTACTTGCGGGTGACCGGTAAATCATACTTCGAATTTTTAAAGCAAGGTAGAAGTTACACTGATGTTGCAGATGAACTGATTATTGCAAGCATTTTTTAGAAAGCGAATACATCTGCTCGCCATTTCATTTCCAATAATAATAATAAAAGTAAATGAAGTTATCTGCTTTGATGCGCGTGTTTAGTTACCAAACCAATAGTGGGAGCTTTACGGTTTGAATAAAATGGTTACATATATTGAGGTTTGATCCAATCACCTACAAATTCAACGAGTGATTTACATGAACAGGAAAAAAAGACGAACCATGTTTCAGAATGAGCGTGGACTAGAAACTTCTCTGTGTAAAAACTTGTCGAACACACACTTAAAATTTCATTACTGTTGCGCTTTAGAGTTTAGTGACAGCACAATCTATCACTGAATAATAATTTCAAAATTAAAAGTAGTTTTCATGTTCTTAAATTTCAAGAAGCGAACAACCAAATTAACCATGCACTTAACGTAGTGCATATATTTCTGTGTAATCAGAGTTTGATTAACAAATCTTTATGATCTCAGCCTCAAACGTACGATAAAGAAAAGAAGTAGGGGTCATTACAATACTTGAACGCTTGTGGCCCATGAGCTGTAGAATCTTCGACATGGTTTTCAAGAACGGCCCTCTGTTCTGTAGAGTGTGGTAAGAGGTAACCTCGTTATCAATACTTATCAGTTTAGATTATAAACTGTGGTAGTACAGACGAAATCAGAATTTTGATTAAACTAAATAAATATAATTAAAACAAAATTGTTTTATTTTATAATACAGGAAACTACTTAAATGCATTGAAAAAAGGTGTCAGGAAACCAACCGACGCTAGGAATCCCCGTGCGAGGCTACATCCTTCGGCGTGGACTTCAATTGAGACTCCAGTTACTCACTGGCAGTTGTGAGGGGCAGTGTGCTTGGCCTGTTACAGGCGCTTGGTTGACTTGTTGAGTGTGTGTAACTAAACCGGCACCATGTATGATGTGTTCGGATCAATTCGGGGTCTTCTTAAGATCGACTCCGTTAGCATCGATAATAATATATTTCGCATGCACTATAAAGCAACGATGTTCGTGCTGGTAGCGTTTTCCATTCTTGTCACCCAAAAGCAATATTTTGGTGACCCCATCGACTGTATTGTGGATAAAATCCCCGCCAATCTAATGGATACCTACTGCTGGATCCACTCAACCTACACAATTCCATCTCTTGTCGGAGCTAAGATTGGAGTTGAAGTTCCTCACCCCGGCATCGCAAATCCCAAAAGCAATGAAGAAGAATATGAAGTGAAGTACCACAAATACTATCAGTGGGTGACGCTTTTCCTCTACCTCCAGGTAAGTACTAGCTACCATCCAGTGATCCAGTCCACTTTATTTTCTAATGAGCCTTAATTTCAAATCATTATTATTTAAATTAACTAAAATCAAGTTGATCTGTGAGGAAAGTTATAGGTTCTTATCATATGTCTACACTCAACTCAAGTCAAATCAACTATATTTTATTTTTACCAGTTATATGAAATAACAAAACTCTTAGTCTTAGCCACTCTTAGGAATGCCATTGGGATTGGCAACGGGAAAGAATGCAAGTGATACCACTTACTGCCTGTGATATCTTTTTAAAGATTGCTGATTTTACTTTTACTGATTAGTTTGTACAGGTGTTTTAGTCAGGAGAATGAAAGCACCAGTTGGTCTTGGCATAGGCTAATTTGGTTGGAGTTAGAATAATGAGAGAAAGAATTTTCCTCGGTTGGACCGTTGGACTAATGCTTATTTCAGAGAACTAAACTTTTACAGATAGAACTTTCACCAATAAATATGTAAAATTGTTTTGAACTCTGATGATGATGCAAGTTTGGTTGACAAGCATGTATATAGAATAGATGACAGTCAATTGCAATTGATGCCAAACTTATTGTCAGTATAAGCTGGAGTACATGGTTTCTAAGTAATACCTTTCTCAAAAATAAATGTAATAAAGTATTATTTTGCGGTTTGCCTGCATTGCACCTACTTGATGTACAGAGGGCAATTTGAAGCTGCAAGGCATTATTATTCATTGCCCTGGGTGTGGGAATTTTTATTTATTGTAGTTTTTTATAGTCATTGCTAAATTGCTGACCTGAGCAATAGAAAAAAAAATTTGCATATATTTTACGATTCCTCCATTATCTTTTATTAATGCATTATTGCCACTGCTTGTTAACAGTAATAAAACTAAAGCTGTATATATAGGTAGTGTCTTGTTCATACTAAACAATATTATGACCAAACAAAGTAGAAAAACAAAACAAAAATTTTAATATTACTCGAGAACAAGTGCATAGCATTGCGTTTCTTGAAGGTTTATTATGTCATTTAAATTATTGAAATATATGCATAATTGCAAATGCTTAGAATAAAGAACATGCTCTGAACAAGTCATTGTATTCTGATGAGTTGTGCTACCTTGAGACATCAGTTCTAGCTTAGGTCTCTAGTGCAACAGCTTCACAGCACTTGTGCATGAATTTTTTCTCTATTATTTACAGGCGATTATGTTCTACATCCCCCGCTACCTGTGGAAGGTTTGGGAAGCCGGTAAAGTGAAGATGCTGGTCATGCAGCTCAACTCGCCTATTGTGGACGATGATGCCAAGAGGGAGCGCAAGAAGATGCTTGTAAATTACTTCAACGTCAACATGCACAACCACAACTTCTATGCCTACCGATTCTTCTTCTGCGAATTGCTCAACTTTGCTAACGTTGTTGGCCAGATCTACTTCACTGATCGGTGAGCTGATAGCAACGACTATCTTGTCAACTATTTGTGATAGAAATGTTCTCTGATGTCCTGCCTGTTCGGCTGATATCCCGGAAAAAATTCTGTATAACATTGAATTGCGTTTCACTTAGTGGTAAGAGCATTTCATGCCATGCCGGCAACTGGGAATGAAACCTAGAACTTTTTTTCCTATGATGTGAGAAATGATGGACCTGAGGTAACAAGATCAAAAACGAAATTGACGTTAACCCTATCAAGATTTTTTTTTAGAAAAATTAATCCTTATTTACTGGCTTTAGTCAGTGCCCGTAGTCTTTAGCTTAAATTCAATAACGTATGTTGTGCATCTGACGAGAACTGGCAATGATGAGATGAGGTAAAATTAGGTTGTCACCAACTCAACTATGGTTCAACTTCACGTTAGTTTCGATTCCGATCGTGGTTCAAGGTACTAAGGCCACATATCTATTTCGACAAATTATTGCACCATCCATAAATTATATATTTAAACGAAGGCAATGAAACTAAATAAAACGTTGACGCGCGGAATTGTAGCTACGACCACTTCAACGATAAAGTACTGTTCAGTGATCACGCGTTTGTGTTATTTACTTGGTAGTTCTCGTCATCCTGGAATGGGGCCATGGGCCCACTTAACTTCATTGCATTGTAATGAAGGCACTTAACCGCAGTTTTTAACCGCTTGCTAGATCTGTTTCACTGTGAAATGAAATCGTAAGTAGGTTTTCATTGCGAGTAAACAATCGTGAACGGGTATCTAGAACGGCAGTATATAAAGAATAGAAGTAAGAAACTCATTATTGGTTTTTTAACGTATTGAAGCGACACCTTCTTTCACCGTGCGACATCATGATTAAAACGCGATATCTTCTTCCTATGGACAGCTTCTTGGGTTACGAGTTCACGACCTACGGCACGCGCGTGGTGCAGATGAGCCAGCAGGAGTTCGGTACCAGGAGTGATCCCATGGACGCCGTTTTCCCCAAGGTAAGTTGACTAGTCCTTGACAATCTATTTATTAGCCGACCTTTGTTTCAAATTTATCTTTACCTCAATGCTGCAGCGTTGTTATTGCTAATAGAATTTCTTACGTTAGAAAGCTTTCGACTAAAAGTAAATGCTGATTTATTTCCTTCATCACGTTCACGTTTCGCGTGCAGGTGACCAAGTGCACCTTCCATATACTGATTTCTTTATAACATCACGTTTACGTTTCGCGTACAGGTGACCAAGTGCACCTTCCATATACTGATTTCTTTATAACATCACGTTTACGTTTCGCGTGCAGGTGACCAAGTGCACCTTCCATATACTGATTGATTTCCTTTATAACATCACGTTTACGTTTCGCGTGCAGGTGACCAAGTGCACCTTCCACAAATACGGTAGCTCAGGCAGCATCGAGACTCACGACGGTCTGTGTGTTCTGCCATTGAACATTTTCAATGAGAAGATCTACATCTTCCTGTGGTTCTGGTTCATCATCGTGGCCATCATCTCGGGCATCGGTCTGCTCTACAGACTCGCCACTTTTCTGGCGCCTTTCCGCCAGATCCTCCTGCGTACGCGGTCCAGACTTGCCTCCCAGGAGGACGTTGAGGCTGTGTCGCGCAAGTGCCAAATCGGAGACTGGTTCTTACTCTACCAACTTGGTGAGTTGCGCTCAGCCAGTGATTGTCTTTACACTTTCTTGTGCTGAAATTGAACTTCTTCATCTAATATATTTACCATCACTTGTCGAGTCTGATATTTTCTGTGACGTAGTCTTCTCCCCACTACCTTACCCTTTTTTATTATAATACAAATTAATATTTCGAGAAGCGTTGATACTAAAAAGCACCTAATTTTCCTAGGCCAAAGTGACGTTTAACTCTCGTCTGTGATGTATGCTGTGCGAATATTTGCACAATCAATATGAGAGAAAACGTCGGTGCAGCTGCTTTCTCGAGTTACGAATTTATTGATACTTAGATCCATAACAATTTGTACACTTTTTATTGAGAAATTTAGTGTTGAGATATGGGCTTTGTAAACGATGTTTAACACCTGATTGATGTGTATTAGTTAGTAAGGAATCGTCGTTGAGTTCTAACTCAAATTTTTTTTATAGGTTTATGCCCTTGTTTGTTTTCTATTGAAAACATTTTTTAACGTTTGACTGGCGACTGTACCTGTAACCGCCTCCCTTTTGACCGTAATGTTTTTTTTCTCTTTGCAGCCAAGAACATGGACCCGTTGATTTACCGTGAATTCATCACGGAACTGGCACTAAAATTCCAAGGAAAAGAGCCTATAAACTAGCAGATGCCTACAATAAACTAGTTTTATCACAGTAATGCGTTTCGTTTAATAGACTCCAAGTAGCACTGCTTGACTCCTGAAAGATGGAGAGGTTCTGAAAAATCTTCGTCTTGATTGTAAGTTCAAGGAAGCACTCGACAAAAAACAACGGAATTCCGTATCTTATGTTCTCTTCTCACGACTGGGGTTGAAGCACTAGTTATCTTCAAACTCCATTGATTTTAGTGTGCCCAATCTAAATATATTGTACGTGTCTAAAATTACGATACGATTTATTATGTTCGCATCTATTCGAGTTATACCGTTGCATCCTAACGGTAATTATTAGATGACGTATAAGACGGTTGTTCGTATAAGACAAAAAATTGAGTTTGAAGTCACTGATGAACTTTTTTCGGTACATTTCGAGGTGTTTATCATTTTTGGAAACATTTACTTGTAAGTCCAAATGCTTTCCAAGTTTAAATCCTATGAGTAATACGACAGCCAGCGCTTGCTTATTTTTGGACCGAAGATCTTTTTTTTTTTTACTCTAGCCTAGAGTCTTTGCTTGATGATGCTCAATGATCGGAGCGCGAAAAGAGGGATGTTGTGTTACTTGTGTATCCGGAAAATAGAGTTGACTCAACTTACGGATAACGCCGTTGCCTTTGTCTCTAATATAGTAACTATGTTTTTTAACTTAATCAACCAAGAGCGCACTTTGGTGCTAACTGGGCCGCATTTTAGGGATGAGTCGGAAAAAAACTCTTACGTACGACGCTTTTCCTGACGATTGGCATTGCTAGCTGCTTATCTGCGCATTATATAAGTTCTTTGTTCCCTGCCCTCATGAATTGCATCATCCGTTTACTAGCTGCAGGCCATTTTGATCGCGCATTGAAACGTCTGCTTCGGTTGCGATTCACAATAGACACTGCAGTGTCTCATATCAGTTAATATTGTGCTAACGTATTGCTCAATAAATGCAAAGTGCTGCTTCTCAGAGTATTTCCCATTGCATTCCATTTCCTTTCACATTTACACAAATATAACCATTGATAATGATCGTAGTTGCGATTTTAATGCATGTGCGCGTTTACATTCATTGCGGGACTAAACTCAGGCTCGAAAATGTCGAGTGTATGTACGGTGAAAACTTGGTGGACCAATACAAACGCTTCTTTTTTTTCGTTCATTTTGTAGAATTCTCAGTTCTTCAACAGTGATTTTTTTCGTTCATGTTGTGGAATTCTCACTTCTTCAACAGTGACTTGTTGCACACATATAGTATATATAACTGGAATGCTGGAAAACTTTACTTTGACCAAGATTGTGTGACGGCTTACAAAGTGCAGACGCTTCGTGTTGTGCTTGTAGCAACGATTTATGCACTCTTTTGTTCACTAAAGTGAGCTGCAATAAGCCAACTAGGAGATACAGTTACGGCTCATGTTGGGCGTAAAATCTCCTCTTCGTTGAGTATATTTTTATAACTTTGTACTCTTTATTGTCGTAGGTCTTATGCCTAGATCATACCGCCGTTTTTCTGACGATACTGGCTACGTCAACTGATCTTATTTGATCTTCGTGATGGAAATTGTCAAAATTTTATGTTACTGACCATTTTGATAGATTTTTTTTGTGATAAGCTTATATTTTTCTGTTAGAAATAAACTTGCGTTTAATTTATTCATTAAAGAGTTATTTGTTAGGTTATTTGTAACGAATGCTAGGTTCTCTGTACTCTAATTGTATTATTAGTGAAGTCTGGGGCTAATGAGAGCTGTTAACCGCTTTGATCCCAGCTTTTATTCCGATATTTTCATTCTGCCGACCATTTTCGCCTGATTCGTTCCTGATGACCTTTGTATGTTGAACCATCGTCTCGTACATGTGTTATTTTTTTGTAACGCTCCTAATAGTGAATGTACATTGAAAAGCAATAAATTTTGATTATAGGTTCATTTGTTTACATTCCCATCATTTATTAACCACCTTAAATGTGGATCCACAACTTGAATCTTGTGTTACATTCTTTGCTCAAACTAAGCCTGAGATATCTCTTTAATACTCATATCATGAAAGATTGCCAATAAATATCAACAGAAAATTCTATTTAACGCAATGTTATCGGAATCTAATCAAGTCCTGTATCAATGATACGCTAGAAATGACCGTAGAGGCTCCAATTTGTGACCTGATGCTGCATCGCAAACACGATTCAATAGTGATACTGCTTGCGTTTCATGAGTAATTTTGAAGCCAAATACGAGATTTCACCTCTTATGTATAATGTACATTTTTGAGCGCTGTTAGGCCTACCAGGAAGTGCCTGGCCCCCTGCGTGTTGGTAGCGTAGATAGGCCTAAGCTCGGTGCTGTAAATTTCCACCCTTTTGTTGCCATGGACAGCTATGGAATAGGCGTAGCCGCTCAACAAATCGTCGTTATGCCAGAGCCTGACTTATCTTTACAATAAACCTAGGAAAATTTATGAACGAAGGTATTCAAGCGTGTAAAATGTTACAGTTTTTACGACTTCGCGTAATGGTCGTACCACGCACATATCTTCACCAAAATATATTATCACGCATATGTAACTCTCAGTTCACCTCGTAACTTTGGCAACACGAATTTATTAATTAATCGGTATGGTGCCTTCCAGGGGCGCCAGATGTGTGCATTACGAAACGGACGAATCAGCGCACAAAAAAGGCCAAACGGCCTCAATTCCATAATCATTATTGAATTTGAAACATGCGGTACCACGATTGAATTTTTGGGTTCCTAGACTTACACGACATGGGAGTTGAAAATTAAATTCGGTTAATAACAGGTTTATTCTACTCAATTTAAGAAGCCAACTCAAATGAATAGGGACAAATCTATTAATTTGGCCAAAAAAAGGCCCATTTGACTACCATGCCGGCCGGGCACAACGCCACCACGCGGCTGCATGCAGCGTTGCAGTCGCCTGCAGCTGCCACAAACTCCTATACGCACAATTTTCTGACTCATTGACGAGAGTAAGGCCACCGGATGATTTGTTTGCAATAAATAAATCATTGTTGCTTTCTATTTCTGACTTGTAATTGATCACTGTTGAGGAGTACACGTACAGACATGGTCAGAAAATATGCAATTGAAAAACAACGTGGCTAGGAGAAGTGTACACACTTTTGAGCACTCCTCCTCCATTGGTTCTGGGCACTCCAATATACAAACAAAAGTGATGAATTGAAATCATTTCATAAACTAGGCTCATTCTAAAGCTAAATTAAAAGAAGAAGCAAAAGACCTCTGATCCCGTAATTGTTGATTTTGTGAAAAGGTTACCGGACGCAACGGGCGTCTTCAGGAATGTCAGGACTACGCGTAGCATGTGAGGTTTCTGGTGGTGGTGTGGCGCAATGGTTAATTATGGTAAGATTTGACTGGTACAAAGGAGAACGAAACCAATGCAATGGGTAAAAAGGTGAATAATTCTGTTGTTTGTACGTGTTTTCAACTTTTTCATGGTGTCAACGAGTGGAGAACTTACCAGGAATAACGGGATAGTTGGCTCGAGTTTCGTCAGTATGCACACTGCGCAGTTGTATGTTGAATCAGGAAGACGTATGAGTATAAACTAGGAGCATGACAGATGGTTGTAATGATTGATTATATGATTATTTGTTTAAAATTTAAGTCAGGCCGCATTATAATGAATTTTTCGGCCTTTGTTAGTAAACAAAATTTAATGTTTCAATTTAATGTAGGCTTTCACATTTCAGTTGAGGAAAGATTATTAACTATTTTGCGGATTTTTCTCTGGAAGTTTAGCGCATCCAATGCCAGTAGCCAATTCAATGACAGTTCATTAGTAGCCAGGATTAGATATATGAACAATAAAGATCTTTATGAATATAAATAGTTCATCCCTGCTTAGAATTCATTTGAAACTTATTATAAGAACTATGAACTATCGCATTTTCAAAGAATCGCCATGAAATTGTATGTTGTTTGTTACGTGCATGGTGTGCAATATAAAAAAATGTGATGCGTTTCTGCACTCAAAAATTTTTTGCAAGATGTCAAAGAAGATCCCCATCGTAATTTATTCATATATTGCAATCCATTAAACCATTGGTATGATAATTCAGTGATGAAGTAAAAGACTTTCTTTTGAAAAAGAAACATAAATTACAATAAAAAATACATCATAATTTTACCAATTTTCAGAAGTGTAGATATTTCTTCTAACTTGGTCCCTTCTTGTTTGAAACTTATCAGCATTGGTGTTGGAATTTCAAGACAAACTATAGTTACATGAAAAACTACAACTATCAAGTTTGTAATTCATAACATCTTCGTTCCTTTGATGAAATTGATAATCTGAGAGGTATTTCCCGTATGTGAAACTGCAGCGTCCACGCACACGTGTCTGAATGAAACTGTCTTCTGTCAGAGCACAGATGTGATCAAACGTTAGTACAGCTAACACATGACGTTACTCGAAGCAAACTGAAAGTATTAGATAAATAAAAATAATTCAGCGTGACAAGATCAAGAACTGTAATTAGGATTCAAAATTGTTTTTTTTTATGATTAATTGTGGCTGTGATAATTAATGTACTAAGTCTCTTTAATTATATGACGTTGGATATATGTCAGCTGTGTCGACATGCTGGGTGTTGAACACCTGCGCAGCGTAACGAAGGTTGCAGGTCTTCGCTATAATATTTAGTATTGGTCTATTCGACGTTAGTGCGTGACGTTGTATTGCAGCTCCATAATCCGAACTACTAACTATATTTCTTGCAGTGAATATGTCTTGAGTTACTCTCTTGTACGTCGCATACGTATTACGTCGCTTAGAAAAGTATGTATTCTTCCGACGTATTATAATTGTGTAATATCGTTCAAAGCTGTTCGTTAGTTACCCCGTGTTGACATTCACATTTTATAACCGCAAAAGAATCAATGAAAAGAACTAAAAAAGTGAATTCAGCATAAAAAGTAATCGAACAATTACCAGATTTTGCTGACTTGACGATGCTTCGACGAGGCGCTGCATCTCTTATCACGACCGTTTCCTGAAAAACACTGGAGAGAGGAAGAATTTTTCGCTAATCATCTGAGCTGTTTTACGTTTTTAAGAAGAAAAATTAAACCTACTGCGTCCTCTTTTTTCTGCGATACAAGGTAAATAGCTTCTGATTAATGCCCTGTTGTCTATTAGAAAGAATTGTTCTCTTAGCAGCCATATGCGGCTATAAACTCATGTAATTAGAGAGATACTGTTTTGTAAAAATGGGTATAGTGAACTAAAAATCATTCACTTATTTTAAAAAAATCTCTGAGAAGCAATATATATCGAATTAATATTGTTATTAGATCGAAAACGTAATTTTACGCAAGAACATCTCACAGATACGAATGTGAACATTAGCTTATCTTTTTTTTAACAACTTCAATTACAATGTGTTTCATATTCGATTACCGGGCACCAGTCATCGTGGTCGTTTTTTAAGGTTTCAAACCCCGATGAATTGCACGAAGCCATCTTATGTCTCTCAGCCCGCATTAAAATCATTCTTTCCAGAAATATTTCGCAGTGCGATAGTGTCTCCCTCTCTAGTCAACCATACACCTTAAAAGATCCATCTCAAATATTTGCACCGGCATCACACTAGGTACTATTCAACCTTCAGTTCCACGAACCCTGCCGTGCCTATATAAGTCCGGCAAGTTGGGCATCACCGATGTACTGCGTTCTCGTTGAATCCCTTGGCCTATCCGCGCTGTAGCGCGGTGTTGGCGTAGGATAGAGCGTGGCGTTTGCCTTTGCTGTAAATCAGTTAGAGAAAGCAGTCTTTGTCTGCCCAGACTTAGCGGCGCACAAGGGCAGGCAAGTTCGGGTTAAATAGAAATGAAACTTTCACTTCACCGAAAAGTCTGTATTTGTTTTACGTTCTAGTTCAATTTGAGAAACTTGATTGTATTGATAATTTTCGGATGTATAATTAAAGTATTCAAAAATCTATGTCAAATTCATTGAAAACTGACGTCTTTTTCTGTGTATCAGAAACTTTTATATATATTTTCTATAAATGCAATAATCTCAAATGAAAAGTACAAATATCCATCAGTGACGATTGTCATCTTCCTCTCCTAGGAACTAATAAAAAAAAACACCCCAGTGGATCCATGATTATCAATAACGATCGAACAACGCGGAATTCAATGGAAACCCGAGCGCTCGAGATCTCAAGTTACTCACATGGCTCCATCAGGCCGGGCATTTAAATAAGATTGGGAACTTTTTTGCTTCCAAAAAGTTGTCAGCCACCAGATGTCGTTTTTCGAAAAATCGTTGTGAACTAACTATGTACGCGGAATATTAAGCATCCGAGTATATATGGTAATAATCTACGCGCTTGCTATCTACCTGCATGGGATGTTCAAGTCTATGCTTCCCAGAAGTTAAAGCCATATTAACGATATCTTAAATTTGCGTTGCATGCGCGAGGAGTGAGACTCCAAAGCACATCTGTTTTTTATGAGGAGCTGTCCATGTTATAATAAAAGTGCATGTTGCATTATGGTTCACTAAATAATATCTATAATTGTTGCCAGCAATTTAATTGTTTTTTATTTTCGAGTCGCTAAATTTTCTCGTCACAATTTCACTTGACAAAAAAGTCACTATAGAAACTTTGATTTTCATGGGCGTTGTCTATAATTCTGTAAGTTGTTTATATTTTTATTATATTTCTATAAATTACAAGAATTATTTCCATCTGATTCTGGGCTTCCCTGCAGTAGTCATGTTTTTAACACCTAAAGTTTCAATGGAATTCTTCCAACGTGCGTCATGTATGCGACGAGGCGTCGGAAATAGCTGCGCGTCCAAGCGGAAACTTGGCATGGCGTTCTCAGAAGGTACTGGTCGGATCGAGTGGAAAAGTCTATGGATGTTTTAATAATTGTGGTGGCAAGCCTATGGATGTTTTAATAATCGTGGGGGAAGCCTATGAATGTTTTAAAAATCGTGGTGGCAAGCCTATGGATGTTTTAATAATTGTGGTGGGAAGCCTATGTGGATGTTTTAATAATAATGGGGAAAAGGGCCTCTGGGTGTTATAATAATGGGAGTAAAAAGTCTAAGCAATAGTGGCGGTAAAAAGTCTATGGCTGTTTTAAAAGCTTGTCTTAAATGGCCCATAAGGGGGATTTCAATTGAACTCCATGTTACTGCCTGCGATGTTACGTAGTGTAGCATTCCGAGACATCGTCATGATAAATTCAGTCAGACGTGGACAATAATGGCGACCACAGTGAAAGATTTAATAATGCGTCATTCGATTCAAACGGCAAGTAAAGTAAAAGTCCAAGTAAAGAACATTGAGTTTAGAATTTGTCTCTTCCGCACAGCCGCTGCACACCAATTTAATTCCAAGAATCTGTTAAATACGGCAAAGTTACTTAATTATTCTACACAGCGACAGCAGCAAATTTCAACTATACGAGGTACCCCGCATGGCTGCTCTTTCCTTATAAGGGCGCGACCGCAAAGAGAAACCACAGCAAGCAAACCAGCCTTCGGGACCGTGGGTTGCCTGCATGACGGTCAACTCAATCCTTACCAGGCACCACCTCCAGCTCCCCCACCCCCCTTTCTCGCCTCGTCTCTACTCCTGCCACCTCCACAACCATCAGACTCCTGCAACCTCCTCAACTCATTGGGTTACGTACTCGATCAAACGCTTTTGCCTCTTATACTCGTACAACCCCCACAGCCTCCTGCAGCCTCTCCTTCTTCAACCACACCACCTACTAGGGGTATTTAAAAGCACCAGCCATTCCCCCCCCCCCCGTAAAACCCCCTTCAACTCATGCAGCCCAGCCAAACCCTTCCTTCCCCTTCCCACCGCCTCACGTCCCTACCCCCTTATTACCCTCCCGCCTTCTGCCCCCCCCCCAGCAAGCGGGCATAGCGTCTGCCCATTGCTCCTCCCCTAGCTGAACCTTCCTTCGCGGCATGAATAAAGCCTCCATGTTTCAGTAACCTATGTCATCCCATAGATCAGGGCACGGTCACAAATAAAAAAGATGTGGTTAATAAACAATAATACGATAGAGAGCTACGTACTATACAACGTATGGCTGATACGTTGTGCGATATCATAATACAAACACGGTTAAGTTAATGCATTGATTTCTAGTTGTCAACTAATGGATAACCAAAAGTTAAACAGAAGTTTGAGGTTCATTTTGAAATAATGGCCACCATGTAGTCTCTGCGATCAGTTTTGAAAATAGCAAAATAGTCCTTTTTCCGTCTCAGTTTAAATATAATAAAAAGAGTCACTCCATTATATAATATAATAAAATATATAATATAATAAAAAGAGTAAAATAATCTTAAAAATAACTTTATTTTCCATTTATATTCATTTTTGAACCTACAAGATAATTTAAATGTGATCAATGAAGATTTCAACACTGCTCAAAAATTTCAGGGCTTCACGATTGTATTTGAAACTCTAAATTATAAGAATTTTTCTATTTGTATCGCCTTATTTTGAACGCAATTGATCATTTCTTTCTTGAGTGGTTATGTTTTCCTACTTCTAGTCATTCATTAAACATTTGAAATCTGCCAATAGGATACTGCCACGGAACAACGTCTGTGGCACTACGTATTATTGAGTCCAACGTATTGCTTGCCAACGTTATGACTGTATTTAACAGCGTTCCGATATTTTAGGAAATAGTGAGCTCGTCAAACATACCAAAGCAAACACAATCATCACAACAGGTCAAGCTTTTTTTGTGAGAATGAAAGCGTTTTAAGTTTTATCGGCCACATCCCGCTTCCAAGAAAATATTATTAGTACGATCAGCCTCATTACAACAAGAAAATATTACATTCATAACTCTAAACTCATATGAATGGCAAGAAACGCAAACTCAATTAAGTTCTTTACGCGTAAATATATTTCGCCGTGCACGGGACAACTTAATTGATAGTCAACGGGTGTTGATAGTCAAATAAAAAAATTCCTTTCCACCATTGCTCTTCGCAAAGAAATTATTCGATCACGAAACAGGAAATGAAGCTTTTAAATCTTCAAATTTGAGTGCCCCAAGAGGCTCTAGCTTTTCCTTTTTAGAAACGGAACTATAATGCATACCTAAACTTCGAGGTTTAGTTGCACATTGTGTGGTAATGGCTGTGATAACTTAACTTAGTGCGCAGGCACGATATCGGCAGATTAAATCACAACAAACTGCAGCTGGACATGGAAAAATGTACTCTGCAGGGTGTGAAAATATTCTCCTTAGTGATGCATGGTATGTTGAATAATAATTTCAACTGGACTCCATGGAGCTCGAAAATTTATGGAACCTTGCAAGATTATTCACTGGCAAGGTCAGAATACGAATTTAATTTAAGATGAATGTAAGATTTTGTTGGTTACAATGCTCTTATATATAGAGATAAACCATCTATTTGCATGTTATTGTGTAGGACAAATGGTTGCAACTCGCAGGAAAGATTTAAAATCTTCACATTAAAGCGATCGAAGCGTAATCCAGACTTCAGAGGAAAGGGAAACTGCTGAGGTTTATCCGACTCTATGTAAATTTCTTTGTGCTCTAATTTGCTGCGTGATAAACATTTCTGGATAACTCTTCGTTTCAGTGATAGGGTAAGAATGAGCATAACAATGCAAGTTTTACGAAAATAAATTAATCCTTGGAAAATTTTATCATCTTGATTGTAAATAACCTGAAACTTTCTGCTCGTAGCAGAAGCATATCGATCATTTAACTATTTTTTCGGGCTCTGCATCACATTTTCGGGCTGTGCATCATCATCAATCGTCGAAAAAAAAGCCAGTCTGAGCAGCCATCAGCTAGGGATGTCGGGAGTTAGTCCACGGCCGGAGCATGTTTGTTCAGAGATCTCGTACCTCTGGCAGCTATGATCGTCTGGCTGCGCGAACCTTGCAGACGATATTCCTCCAAGCGTTTCACCGCTGAGCTAAGCAGATACCTTTTTATAGAATATCTTGTACAGGTAGTTAAGAGCAGCTGATAATATCATTGTCAGAGTAATTGATGTTAAAGTGATTTCTTCCAATATCATACATCCTACGGTTTTCAATATAGCTCATGTGCCTGATAAACATTAGTGCTGGTTCGTTTCATAAACAAAGGGAATTTAAAAAGTACTTACAGAGATACAATTTTATTCGATAGATCTATAACTAGTTTTACACAAATATAGGAAACTGAGGTGAAGACGCTATCATGGTAACGTACTTTTGACTGTAATTTTCGATGGAATATAAACAATTTTTGCTGGTCTTTAAATTATGTAAATGCAGGGGATTATAAATAGCTTCAGCAGTATTCATAAATTCAATCGGTTTCTATCTTAATGCAAAAAGTATGCCAAATTTTGAAAGAAATAAGATATTTGCAGGTTTCTAGCGAGACAATATTCCTTAAAGTTTAAGTTGATGTTGCTCGTCTCTCCCGATCACTCTCCCCGCACTTTTGGCCCTCGATTTCACTGGGGTTGTTCACTCTCCCCTCCCCGCCCCGACCGGCTTTTTGTAATAATTGCTACACATCACCAGCGGCTCAACGACATTTATCAAGGAACAAAACTGGCCTATGATACTTCATGCTTGTTGATAATAATCCATCCGCAAGAATATCTTGAGACTATTCTTCATCGTAAAATATGAATGGAGTTTGGCTAGTATGAAAATCGGCATAGAACCACAAGTGCGGTTGCCAATTGCGCGTCCAGATCACGACAATAGCGGCAGTTTCTTCCATGCAGGATGCGTCTTTGTAGTCCTTGCTGCCTGAACGTTCTCAGGGACCTTCAGACAGCTTCATATAGATTCTGCATGTATTATATATGATTATGTATAAATTCAATGGGCTCAAGTTTGACATTTTCTTCATCAACTGTCTGCGTCGATGAAAGCTTAAGAAAACTTTAATTGAGTGACCTGGACTTATTGATGCAATATGAGATGCATGATAAATGAAGACAACAATAGAAGCTGCGATTGCTGCCGGCCCTTTGCTTCATGAATACCTTCAACTTTCACATTTGGACAACGAGCTTTTTGTCCGATTATATATTCTAGGATAAACCGCCTAACATATCTAAAATAGACGTTGGCGAATAATAAAACTCCGCATATGCAAAGCCATTTTCAGCTAAGTTACTCCCATAATTGGCATAATTTCCTCAATGATTTTCACCTCAGGCCGTAACTTGCAGGACCCTTACTCATTCCGAGTTTTTAGCGCATTTTCACATTTATGGAAAACATGCCTTATTAAGCTCGTCATGTTCGTCCGCCCGTCTGTCTGTCTGTCCGCGACTTAGGTTTTCGTCGACGAGAAAATGCGCTCTCTGTCACTCACTGCAGTGAGTAATGAGTTATATTTTTTTACTATAACTGTAGATAAATAAAAGCGTTCGCAATATGCTCCACACGAAATTCACAACAGGCAACCCTCGAAAAATTTCACACGATATTTGTCTTCTTAGTCAGGAAAAATTACCTCTAAAGTTTCCACGTCGTGTTCACAGGAGGAAGCAAGTAGTACGCAGACATGGTGCTGGTGGACGCTCTCAGAGCCTTCTCAGGCATAGTGAAGGCGAAGAGCGAAGCAGACATCGATGGTTCTGTCTTCAAACTGCACTACCGGGCGACCGCCACGCTGCTATTTTGCTTCTGTCTTCTCGCCACGTGCAACAGCCTCATCGGCGAGCCTATAAGGTAAGCTTTCTAGATGACTTATGAACTTCGTTAATAGTTTAGCGTTAACCCATGTCAGGCTGCCTAATCAAAAAACGTTGCAATCGTACTGAGTGTATGTACCTTTGTACCAGTTGAACCTTTGCAGTCCGATAGCAATTAAAGTAAAATTAGGGTAATATTCGATATATGTAGCTTCGTTCTTACAAAGTTTAGCTACGCGTATAATTAAGTTCCGTCCATCCATTATAATCAATCTGCTAACCTTTGACTGACAATACCTTTAACACAATTTGTACTATTGCAAGATATATGAATATTCGAAGTGAGATTGGGTTTAAATATTTAATTTTGAAATTATTTCACGTTTCTTGGTATCGTATATACGAATACAAAGTAGTAGCGGAGGTATTACTGGTAAATGAAACAATATGAAGAGGGTAGGTTGTTTTGCTCAATGCAATCATACATTCCATCACCCTGGGATTCATTTGAAAGGAGAGGTGATTCATTCTTCAGTCATTCCTGAAATTCATTCCACTAATAAACTTATAAATCCTTCGCAATGTGAAAAGTATCGCAGGGGAGGAAGTTTTCAAACTGAATGGATATTGTATGCTGCCTCTAGCGGATATTCGCTATTTTATGAATTACTTATATTTTTTGTTTTATGAATTATCTTTGATCAAAAATAATTATATTGAATGAGGAGTGGCGTAGTATATATATTATATGTGATGAGTGGCGCTGTGCCACTAATCCATAGCATAATTAGCCTTTATTGATTTTTATTGAATGGTTTTGATTATAAACGATGATTGCAGTGGAGTTTTTCAAGCTCATCCATTCATGAACAGTGAAAAAATTTGTCTGTTATAAATGCCTGAGTTTAACGTCTCAAGTTTTCATCAACGGTTAAAATAGTTCCATAAAAAAATAAACGTTCATCGAATTGCCTCCTAGTCTAGTCGGTGCTAAAGTAGTGTCCTAAACCGCTGACTCGGAATCCTGCTGGGCGCCAAATCGCTCACCCGAACGTCTAGTTAGACACGATAATCCTGACTGAAGATTTGGTGATGCATGTTGTACACGACGATTGCGTTGGGCCAACCGGTTACATGAATATCTTTGCAATACACTCACTATCAACATGACTAGTTACTTGTTCGTATATTTTTTTACTATTATATGTATCGTATTTGGTCACATTTTCATATTCAAGGACTTAGATTACTTGTAATTTGAATTCGTTTCTAATTACAATATTTATGTTTTGTCCGAGAGCATCTATAATTGTTTTTATAGAAACACGAGTTTGATCACATTTAATCTAGAGAGTCAAGAACATTGTACTCGTATGCATACATCGAATATCGAGATTATTTAATGTTTTAATTATTTACGTTTAAATGATCCTCATGCATCGGCGTATGGCGGATACGCCAGAGACAAAACATTTAATTGGATCTTTCTTTAACATAAACGATTTGCGAATGCTATTGTGTTTACCCAATAGTATCATACTAAATAAATTTCCCAACGTTTCTTCTCATTTGTTTGTATATTTTCAAATTATTATTCAAAACGTTTCCTCTTTGTCATTTCAAAACATTATTCAAGAGATTTTGTTTGCAAATGTTTATGGGACGATTGGCAGCTCATAAGCGTCAATTATTCATCAAGCAATATGTATTCACTTGGCATTTCCAGCCAAGCTTTGAACGAGAATAAGATTTCTACAAGCAGCCGCGACATGATCAAAATAACTTCAAGTTTAATAAGAGGATCTTCTTCATGATACATCGCGAAGCTGACAACAATCCGTACACTCACAGAATTGAGTAGAAAATTATTCAAATAGCACTTGAAAAAACTTGAGCACTTTTTGTGCTCAAGTGTTTCATCCTGCCACATTTTGTAGGGCATATCAAAAGGGCGTATCAATGCCACGTCCGCTCTCTGCTTACTGTTTGTACTAATGCATCACTGTTTGTACAGTGTGACCCGTTTCTTTTTCTGAGTGCATTTAGTAGCTAGGACTCCGCTACCTCCTGTGCATTCGAATAGGTGATAATAGCTATATGTCGTCAGCACAGTAGCGCTTGTTTGAAATTTCATGAGCTTAGTTGCTGACTGAAACTGTAGCATTTTGATTTAGTTTGGATTCATTTCCTTGGGTTAATATAGTTTTCTCTGGTCTGTGTCGTGTTCTTTTAGATCCTCGATAGAAGATAAGTTGCGTGAGTAAAATTCAGTATTTCCTTTGTAAATTATGTTTACTGGTAACCGTTTAATTAATTGAAAAGACGAGGTACAACAATAATTACTAAACATACACAAGTGCTCATCGGTGATATAATTTAACGGCGGTGCGAAAAATATAACCGGCTTTCTAAAACATTGTTCCGTTTGTGGACTTCTGGTTCTATTACACATGAACGCAAGAAAAATGATTCAAAAATTCGTCCCGCACATGATGATTACTTTTGAGTTGCGAGCATCATCTACTTAGTGATAATGTCGTTGACGGAAGACAGTTCTGAGTTCTAGCAAAGTTTGTTCATGGCAATATTTCCCGCGACTTGTCCAAAAATTATCAGTATAGCTTGATTGAACTTATTGTGGATATTAGTTATGATTTCTGAGATGCTTGTGGCAAGATGGAACCAGGAAGGTTGGGCGACAGCCTGAATCCCGTATCTGTATTCTTCTCAGCAGCATCAGTGGAGGAGCTATTAGAACAACTTTAATTGTCGGTAGCAACAATTTATTAAATAAGTCGAGTTGATGTTTGCGAAGCATGCACCCACGCACTCTTTAGTTTAGGGTATATATGGCTTACGTGGTGGTCGGTACTGGGCGGTCAGAAGGAGAGCAAAAGAAGAAGGGAGGGCCGTCAAAAAGGCAATTTCCACACGAGGTTGTCCTAGGATGAAGAGACGGGTAGGGTCGTAGTCTCGTAATTATAAAGATAAGGCTTATCGAACCCAGCCTGAAGAAGCAGAAGCAATAGAGCTGTAATGGCAATGGAAGCTGAACATGTACAATAGAGGCAAAATCAGGAACGAGATCCGTCCCAGAACGTATTTTGAGAGGCCTAATCATCGCAACTGAAATACCGGAAGGAGATGCATCTAACTTTCAAAGAAAGGCGGAGCTCTGGCGGCTTCCAGCACGCGCGGCCCGGCAGAAGGACATGATTGAACTAGTTAGTATAAGGTTGACCCATGAGAAGCCCATTTTTGCGGATGTAGTTCGTTGTTCGCCTGTGACGTCACTGATCTCAGTGACGTCACAATTAAGCATTAACTATTCTCCGAAATGCGATCAAAACCAGTCAACCAACCCGTCATTGGAATGACGGGATTGCTTACGTTTCTCAATCTCAGTGACGTAACAAGAAAGCTGAACTGAAAGACGGAAATCCTCGTGGGGTAACCTTATATAGTTCAGTCATGGGAGGGGGATGCCTCTGTTGTTTTGTCCGACTCGGAACGATCACATGGGGTCGCCTGCCGAAGACCACCACTGCCCTGGATGTAATGGACTATCATGATTCCAGCCTTCCGGAACGTAGCCTTCAACACTTCAAGCCGTCCGTATCTAAGCCGTTAAAACCAGCCCTCGGTCGAACGGCCACTCGTCGAAGGACGATAAATTTTGGAACAGAACTTAGCTATCTGAAACCTAACCTTAGATACGGTGAACGTAAAATTACGTAATTTAACGATGCCCGGAAGTCACATTCGATCCGCGGCCTGGTGGTGCATGGCAGGTTTTATGCCAGGCCTGAGGTGGACAAAGCTTATAGTGGTTCACGGCTGATTGGTGGATGTCCGGAGAGATCCAAGGCGTTCGATTCAGGGCTTGTTGGTGCACAAAATTGGTGGTGCACGGCTGCGCTCCCATCACATGAAATCGGGTTACCCGCGTGACGCAGATACAGCGGAGAACGGAGTCTTCATTTGACGCTCTTTTCTTGTCAGAACCCGCCTCTCTATTTTTTTTTTTTTTTTTTGCTTGAAAATTTTCGGAGAAATCAACGGAGAAATTGAACCAAGATTCCCTTCTTTCTGTGTAATAAGAGCTGCATTGCACTGATGCTCGATCATTGAAGTGGCTTTCTAATTTTTCTAGATTCAATTTACTTCTGTCGTTCTGGAATACAAACATATGCCTGTAAAATTTGTCGGTATTATCTGATGTGTTACGGTACGCGTACTGGCTTACGTACATTTTTTCCCTATGAATGCATGTTAATCATTAGCATTGGCTGAGAGCATTTAATTGATTTTGAAAATATGTAAAACAAGACGAATAAAAGAGCATTGAATATCTCGATGACAATAGCAGCATTTAATTTCAACTCTCCACATTAAGTTAATGGTTTAAACATTGTCTCCATTGCAGTTTTTGGCTGTGCTTTGAACCGGGAAAACAAGTATAGATATACATATGAGCGTGAATATTTTGTATTTGCATACAATGAGAGGCTTGCACATATTTCATTTAAATTGAACGAAACCCACAGTTGAGTAATACGCGTTATTATGAATTTTTCTTATGTAGGTGCCAATATAATGCATTGGTATTGCTTGCACGCGCATGCAAGTCCCTGTTCCATGGTTACAACGCATGAAAATGATCAGTGAAACTATGTTAAATATAATTAGCGTTTTCATTGTTCCTAAATTATTGACTTGCAAATAATCGGTGAAGGTTATATCAAAGTGATTATATTAATTAATACCGAAGTAATACAAGCGGTTACCTTATCTGGTTCCTCGATCACTGCCTGACATTGCCCAATTTCTTCTTCAGTCACATCTTCTGCACAAAAAAAAAAAAAAAACACTGGGCCTTGGGGTCGATTTTGTTAATTCTTTCTTTTGTAAAACTTGGTTTGTATTATCCACTCCTTAACTATTCTAGGTCAGACCATTCGAGAATATTTTAATGTTTAAGCCATGCAAATATTTCGATGTTCAACAGTTGTCCAACAGCTTGAATAACACTCATAA